GCTTGGTTAACTGGGTTAAGGTATATTTTTGCCATACTGCAACAAGCGACTTTAAGTGCATTTCAGATTTGAGAGGCATTTTGAAAGTAAACTCAGAAATGTTGTTTGTGCAAACAGCCTTTCAGGTCTGTAAGAAGGATTTTCTTGTGTTCCTCAAATGCTCAGAGAATTGCTGAAGTTGCCACCTCAATCTAATCGTGTGGAGCAGGGGGGCTGTAGAGGGAGTTGTGCAGCTGCAGTGACATGATTGGGGTCTGTGGTTAAATTAACTCTTAAATCAGATAGGGGGGAAAAGATCTGTGAGGAACACGCAGTCGTTCTTTCAAAGGCTCCTAGAACCACATGCTGAACTTGAAATGCTGCTGGCTTCCAGTTCAGAAAGATAAAGTGCAAAATAGAGCTAGAACTTAAAAATGCAAAATAACAGCCTTTGCTATTATATCTTTATTGAAACTAGGAATCACTTGTGGGTCAGGATCTGATTGCTGGGCAGGCCCTGTGTGAATATAGCACAGAAAGTGTTGTGTTTTTCAGTGACAGGCTGTTTTTCTGTGCTTGTTTTCTGTTTGAAGATGTTGAAAGAGAAGGGAGGAGTGGGAACTGCAGGTGGCTGTTCTTTAGATCTTGGAGTAGTTTGATGTCATTCTTTGAAGTATCCCTATCTGCAGAAATAAATAAACTGATGATATATTTGGAGAGAGACCTACAAAAGATGCTCTGTGAGGGTGTTTCCTGCTTCAGGTGCTTGAACTTCCACAGTCTTGCAGCCTTTCTGGTGGCCTTGTTTTGTGCTCTTTCTGCCCAAACTCAGCTGTTTGTTGTCATGCTCTTCTCCTTCCCTCCCTACTCTGGATTCACATCCCTCCTGCTGTCAACCTGCTTTATCTGGGAGCATCCAGATCATGAGCTGGGACTAAGGACAAGATTCACAGTCGGGGTTGGACACAGCTCCATGTTTTCACTGATCTTTCCCAGCCTATGGAATTGATTGCAGCAGGAGAAACAGCACATTTACTACTCCAGACTAATTCCCATAAACAGATGGGAATTTAGATGAGAATTGTAACTAGCTTGAAGAAACTTCCCCAGCAAGTTTTCAAGGGAAGGCAACCCACCGAAGGTGGACAAGGTAGCTTTGTAAGAAACTGAGACTGTTATTTTCTAGCTCCAAACATCAGGACCTCATTGTGCTAATGTGCCTGAGCCTCCACAAAATAGATTTCAGGCTCAGCCGAGTTGTCTCATGTGAATTTGAGAAGCCCTTGTAACAGATCCTGTGTGGTGTTTTGCTCCTGTGTAACTAATAGCAGGTTTGTCTCAGCTTGCTTCATCTGCCCCTGTTCAGAACAAGCCTATTTATGCTCTAAAGCCCCAGCAGTAACTGAGGAGGGCAACTCACACTCTTACCCAATCTGCACCACTTCCCACTATATTCTTGGGAAGCAGCCGGGTAAGAAGTTTGTCCTGGAGCCAACATAGCTGGAAGCTCCGAGTCACGTTTGCCTGTGATGTCACCTGGATTTTCAGCTCCCAGCAGCCCAGCTCTGGTTGAACATTTACCTCCGCTGCAGCAAGATAATCTGCTGCACCTGGCTTGCTAAGTAGCACAGGAATTGCCACCAGACAGTTGAGGTTTAACTAGAAGGTCTCCACAAGCTGCTGGTTGTGGGTGTTTTATCTAGATGTTCTAACACAGTCGTCTTCTGTTGCAACAGGCTGGGCTGGCGCTTGCTGGGAGCCTCTCGAGCCTGTTCTGTGGGCCAGGAGCACTTGAGTATGGACCCAAGAGACTGAGGGAGGTTGTTGGAGCCTAGGGGAACGTGGGACTTGTGTGTGATTGGGACAGAGCTGTGCAATTGGGTGCACGTTTCCATTCCTGGCCTTGTAGAAACACGGCATAGAAAGAAGTCCAGCACATTAAGTTCAAGCTTGTAGAAAAATGTAAGGAGGAGTTCTCACCAATGTAGTTTTCTTGGTTTGCAACAGTAACTTAAGGCTCTAGCATGTAGAGCTCTGCTGGGTTTTATGCAGAGAAATGTCTATTACAGATTACAGAATCTTTGTGTACAGACAAAGTAATAAAACCTTGATAAGTGATACAGAGTTGAAAAGCTTATAGAAAACAGCCGAAAATGCTGGAAGGTTGTAGCAAAAACAAATAAAACTAGAACTAGGAAATAAATAGATAATAAAATACAAATGTTCAAATGCAATTACCATGAGCTACATTAGGCTTGCAGCGTTGTCATGCTTGGATATAATGAAAAGCATGTGGAGGTGAGAGGAGCTGCAGAGAGGCCTGTGCCCCGAGCAGACCCCTCACAGGGGTGATTGAGCTCAAGAGGTTCTTCCCCTTTGAGCAGTTCTATGGGCTGACTGTGCGGCAAATACCTGCAGAAGGAGAGGGGTGGAGGCATCCTGTGTCTAGCAGTGCCAAGCAGTTTAATGTATAGAGGTGCCTTTCAAACAGACACTTGAGGGCCCTGTAAAACACAGGGGGGTCAGCACGGCCTGTGTTTTACGTGTTTAATTGGTAGCTGATAAATCAGTGTATTAGACATGTGTGAAGTATAAGGACCTTCTGTATAAATTAACCTCAGCTCAGGACAATCGGATCCTTGTTCAGATGCTGTTCAGAGTTTCATTGCTATTATTATGTGTAATGTATACTATTCTATGAAGATGTGTGTTTAGTGATGTATGGTGTGAGAGAGAAGAGTCTATAGGCCCGTGTTCACTGTGCTGGTCAATATAGAGAGTTCTTAACTGCTGCTGCCATTGAGAGCATCACCTGAATAAACTGGGGGAGGCTCCATCTTTCCAGTTGCTGCATTGCTATGTAGTAAAGTAAACTTGCATAATTGTTAATAAGTCAGCAAAACTGTACAGAGCAATGATAAACCCTGCAGAGGGTGAATCTATTTACATTTTTAATTATTTTTTTTCAATTAAACTCCCAAACACCGGTTTTTAATCAGCTGGTTGATGTCTTCCAACATTTGCAGCTACCTGCAGCTTGCTGAATTGTATGTAAAGCAGCACGGTTAGGGCTGCAGAATCAATAAGAAACACAGATTTAGAATGAGAAGAAAAAGCTCCCCGGGTACATTTGCCTGCAGTAATTTCTGTCTAGGATGAAAATTTCACAGAACCTCTGTTTGTGTCGGTGCAAAGGACAGACTTGCCCTGCAAACGATTGAAAACAGTTGGGTCACTGTTCTGCCTGTTGCAGAAATTGGAAAATATGGAAGGGAAAAGGCAGGGGACTAATGCTGGAAGAAGGGAGTTTCGTGCTGTTCTGTGGGACTGGCTGTTTTTTTTTCCTGTGGTTTTGGGGAAAAAAAAATTAATGTGACTTTTCTGCCTTGGTTATTGGCTGTATTAGTAACCAGTCCTATTTGCTGGGGGGTTGATTTACCAGTTGAAACCCAATTCTTGCTGTGTATTGCCCTGTGGAGGGGAGGGAAAGGAGATTCAAGTAATGAAGCACATTCTGTACAGTATCTCTCTACAGAATCAGAGTTCTTGTGGTTGTGGAGACACCCTTAACTTAACGATCAGATTTTTATTTTGTTTTTACTTGGTCATCTAAGTGTTCTCATCGCCTTGTTGTTAATGTTTAGCTTTTGTCATCCCTCTAGTTCCTGCCTTTAAAAATAAAACAGCAAAAATAACCCCCCCAAAGCATAAAACTCATTGTGTCGCACGTTAATTAAATTGCTTCTGTACAGACAATAGCCACTTAAGCTGCTGCAGGGGCTGGAGTATAAGTTTTTGCTGTATTAATGGTGCTATATAAGAGTTTCTGTGTCCCACACTGCCTCTTTGAACCTCCTTTTCTAGTATGTCCTTGCCAAGCAGGTCCCCTGTGGTGTCACCTCATCAAGGTTACTGCTCACCAGCCTGGTCCAGGTCTGCCTGCCTAGTAATTTCCGAGGCAGTTTGTTCATGTTGTTTCCTCATATCTTTGTTCTTGGCTCCTGCTGGTTTTGCTTTTGGTCCTGATCTTTTCAACTGCAGAACTCCAACAATTTTATATCTCTGTGTGTGTGTGTGTATATACATATATATATATAAAAAAATATATACACACATATTTTTTTCCCCACTTCTCCAGCTTCCCCCCCAGTTCTGTATTTCTGTGGGACTGCTCTTTTCTGCTGCATGAGTTCCCGTGGAAAAAGCACTTAAAATATATATAATATATATAATATATATAATATATATATTTATATATAAATAAATAGGAATAAATTTATAAATATATAAAATTTCCTAGGATATAGGAAGAACCTGAAATGATCAGAATATTAGATATATCTGCATCTAAACTCTACCATATGTAACTTAAGCTACCCTAGCCTACATTGCATACTTGATTCTTGCCACAGAAAATACCCCACTTTTAAATAGTCCAAATGATCCTGAATTCTCCAAGTCCTCCATTTGCAGCAGCGTGTGTAGCCTTAATGGGTTAATGCGTTAGCCTTAACGGGGTGGTGCTGATTGTGTAACCTGCCAAACCTCCTGCTGTCTCCTAGGAAAAGTCAAAATTACTAAAAGTGAAAAGGAGACTGAACAGAAATGAGATTGGAGAAATATTAATTTCAGGAGCTCGAGTCAGTTAAGTCAGATCATAACTTAGGTTTCAAACTGACTGCTCTGACTATAGCTGGAGTTAAGACTTCTAGTATGAGTATGAGCCTAAATTGTTTGCTGTTGGAAAAACTGGATTTTTTTTTAATATAAAACGCCAATACTGAAGTCCTTTTTCATCAAGAAAGAACAGTCCATTTCATTTTTATACTGTGTAATTTGAAAGGAAAGATGCATCTGAGATGGAGAACTCAGAGCTATGAACTGTCTGTCCGGATCTGCAAGCGTGAATTTGAGTTCTGCCGTAGGGATGGCCTTCTGCAACAGCACGTGGTTGATTTGACATGCTTTTTACATTGTTTTATTCCAATAATCTTAAAGAAACATGATGTTTTTACTTGCAGCACTTGAAGAATCGGAAAGTGACATTTATGTGCGATTCATGAGGTCACACAAGTGTTACGACATTGTCCCCACGAGCTCCAAGCTTGTTGTTTTCGACACTACGCTACAAGTGAGTATTCTCCTTTCAGCCTGTGCTTTTTTTCCTGCAGTTCATTTGTTTTTTCCTCTAATGTAGATATTTCCTCAGTATTAAATGGGATTTCTTGAAGTTCTGCTGTAATACTGTGTTTTGGTGGGGGAAAAACCATACTGTTTTAGCTATATCTTTCATCTGGTAAAGAATGACACGGGGGAGGATTTCTGTGCTCAACAGGAAGAGAATCTGCAGTTTATATTGTAGTTGGAGTCCCTAACTAAGAAACTGTTCAAATGAGCAAAGAGTTATAGTGACTCCTTCCTGGATATCAAATTTTATTCACCAAATCTTATTCACCTACATTTATGTCAAGATCTCTGTTGTGGTAGTTATGAAATACCACACACTTTCAGACTACTCTTGATATTGTTAAGACAATATAGGACTGAATGGCTTAAGACAATATTGAATGGATGGCTTAATTCTTCAAATTATTAAATTTTCCTGGAATGATCATCTGCATGAAGGATTTATTTGCCAAAGGAAAGCAAATGCTGCCTGCTGTAGGAACAGAGTGAAATTGTGGCAGGGACTTGTGGCTTTCTTCGTCTGTTTTCTAGATTTTGAAGTTGGTGAGAGGTTTCTTTTGTTTAAAGATGCTCCAATTTTGACTGGCCTGAGCCTAGTGTAGTAATATCAGCCTGGAATGTGGTGTTCAGTTAGATTCCAGTCTCGCACAGTCAGAGACAACCATGTAACAGATGTGTGAGCCACCAAAGAACCATCCTGTGTATCAGAAAATCCATCACAACATGAATTTATCCATGCAGCAGTCTTAAAGAGGCAAAACTGAAGTTATGCAGCGAGGAGGACTAATGTGGCAGGTCCGTGTGTGTTCTACTCCGTTTACATACTCTCTCGTCCTGGGGATGCCCTCATCCTCTTGAGATCATCTGAAAGGGCAGGAAGTGCTGATGTAATCAAGAACGGATTCTTAATTAGCAGAGCAATGTGTCTATTAATACTTGATACTAAAATTATATTAAAATTGTAGGCAGGGCTCTGGGTAAGAGTCTGTCCATGTACTAAAAGGCCTCTGGTGCCAACTGATCTGGGTGCCAGGAGGGCACTGCTGGATATAGCAGCTTATATGGCATGGGACAGTGGTGAACATTTCCTTCTTTATCCAGAAAGGCAAACTTTTCCTGGAAACTTCTCATACTTAAATACCTTTGAATCAGTTTAACATCATTTTAGTTCTTTTTCCTGCCAAGTCTTCTTTACTTAGTGGTTTTGTAGTGAAAATACGTCCAATCTGTGGTTAGAGATGAAAGAGTTTTGCAGGAAGAGCTTTGGAGCACATGGGCAGCAATCCCACCGAGTTTAAATATTCTCAGTATCAATTTCCATGCCTCTTGCACCTCTGTTTTTATGCAGTCTTGCAGCAGCATCTGTTTTTGCACTGAACCAGTTGCCTGGACTCGGTGATTATCCACACGCTCCAAACTATGGGTGAGGAACATCTGTTACGTTAAGATATAATGAATGCTTCGCCCCATTCTTTTGCCACATTCCTGTTCAGAGACTTCTCTTTCTGTCTCTGAGGAGCTTTATTCTGTGGGAGATTAATCCTACTGACTTTCTTTCCCCATCTCAAATGGAAAGGGCTCTGCAGCTTTTCCTTTCTTCTGCCCCATAAAGAAAATAACGGTTAATTCTGGACTAAAGAATCCAGACCTTTTGACCTGAAAAGTTGAGTGAAAATGTTACTTGGCAACCTCTTGGGGCTGAAGAGACTTAGGGTTTTTTTAATCATATCTTGAACTTGTATTGTTTGTAAACAGCTCTTCCTCCAAACTGAATGTTTTTGTGCTTTATATCATCAAATACTATCCTAGTTTCATCATTCTCTAATTTATGAAGTCATAGCTTGTTTTGTAAAATAACAGTCCCCTTCCAGCATTGGCACTGTCTTCCAGCTTAGCTTCACAAAACTAGTAAAATACATATAATAGTACTCAAGAAAGCTTTAAGGAGGTTGATCTGAGTACTGATCCTTGGGTACACTGCTGGTGACAGAGAAGACCTCCTGTTTTCTGTGCATTTTTCTACCTAGCACCTCATTCGTGTTCTAGCTATGGTATCTTCAACACACGTTGAACTTACTCACCCTGATAGCAAAGCAGATGCCCAGCTCCAACTTAAAAATTGAAGATCTCTTAAAAATAAAATCCTTTGTTGGAAAACAAAGGAATAGAGAAAGCACACCATAAGTTTAGTAAGACAAATACATAGTGTTTGTGCTATAATTTTTCATATTTAAACAACTTATTCTTCAGTGCCTCAGGACCTCATATTGGCTCCTTTTTATGTAGTACATGTACATAGTCTTATGAAATATTTGGTGTCCATCAACCCTTTTAAGTGAGTTTTGTGGATGCTTGGTGCCATTTCTGAGTCTTTCACCTCTACCTAAATTGAATAAAAGAAAAAAAAAAAGGCCTTGATCTTGATAGAATTCTTCAAAAACCTTATTTCTAACTGAATTCAGGTTTTAATAGTTCGAAATCAGGGCTCACTTTTTTGCCTTCTTTTGTGTAAACTAGTAGCAATTATGGAAGAAAAGAAAAATTGGAGCTCCGTTGTGGTTCAGTGGATCCTTTTGAAAGATCCTGCCTTTGGGGCTGTGTTTGACTGCAGTGTCCTGCCTCCCTCTACTGGTCGGAAATCTCAGTACACATCAGGCTTGTTTCTGTCCTGGAAATTACTTTGAGATCCTACGGAAGGTCTTCTAAAACTGTTGTTTAATAACAGAAGGCTGATAATGGTTTTTTTATATGGTGGGATCTGATTCATAGCACTAAAGCAATATCGTAAAATTCTTTAAATGTTTTTAAAAGCAGCCCATGTAGTGGTGAGAAGGATTGAATAGTCTGTTTTATAATCCGGTGTTTTGGTCTGTCCACCAAAAGGAAGATAAAAGGTAAGACAGGAACTTTCCTGCTATGTATGGAGCAGCAACCTGTAGGCACAAGGATGGGACAGAGCAAATGCAGTTGCTGGTTGTTGTGCAATTCTTAGAAGCCCCTGTGGTGTGAAAAGTTCTACCTCATCTTCTGTTCTCACCAAACACTCTCACATGTTAAATCTGTGCTTTAGTGTTAACATGTGTATGGCTTGGGCTCAAGATGATCTGGGAGCCATTTTTCAAGTATTTCACAGAATCACAGAATGTTTAAGCTTGGAAGGGACCTCTAGAGATCTAGTCCAACCTTCCTGCTCAAGCAGGGACACCTAGAGACCTAGGGACACCTATATTTGTGCCGAACTTCTTTATAAATTAATAAAAATCATGTTTATATAGGAACAGTCATCAAAACAAGCTTTCCAAATCCAAAAGATTCTCTCCCTGTATGTGCTGGAGAACTCTTGGAGAGTCAAATGATGTGAAAGTTAGATAATTTAATCTGTTTAAATGATGCAACTGGTAACGGACCAGACATTGCCATCACCAAAGCTGGCTTTTGATGGTAGCTATCACACACTAGTAAGAGCTAAAATATTTATTTTTCTACTACAGAACTGGAAGAAATATTTGAGGTAGTGTTGTAGAATTTTTGAATGGGGGCTTAGCCTAGAAGTAATTGCGCTTTCTGCAGAGCATTCAATGGATTCCACGTGAAAAGTGGAAGAGAGTTTGTATTCCTTCTCCCTGTGATGAGTCTGTTCAGTAACTGGATTTGTTATTCTTGTTCCCTTCAGGTCATTCTTGACTGGGGTGTTGCCTCTCTCCAAGGTAATGAGATAGACCAGGTTGCCAGGAAGAACACACCAGAATCTTTCTCTGTTTTATGTGTTCCTTAATTGGCTTTGAGATTTTTCTTTCTCTTCAAAGCTGCTAAAATTCAAGTACTACACTGCCCACCTTTCTGAGGAGTGGGAACAGCCCTTCTGGCTGACCTGTCCCACGCACAGAATCCTAAGAGAATAATATTATTTGGCTTCCAGTGACATGTGGACTGAGACAGTTTGAGAAGGAAACACAAAAGGTACCTTTATTGGATCAGGCCAGAATCAGGAGTATATAATACTGGAAGATTTCTCCCTATACCTGAAAGAGAATTCTTTCTATAGGGGGAAATCTTCCAGCATATAAACAAGTATCATATACACTTCCAGTATATAAAAAAGCTCATGCTCATCTTTTCTGTGAGACCCTTCCCTCATTCGCAGACATTTTTCATAAAGACCATTCTGGGCCAGTGAAATCACCCTTCTAATGTATCATAATAGCCAGTGTTTCTTTCCATGTTTCCGCTCAAGGAAGAGCTATTGTGTAGCCTGGTGAAAGGTTTCCTAATTAAGCTACTCTGGAGCTTGCTGACTGTAAGAGACCAGGTTTTTGAGATACTCCACTGCTTGAAAGGTAGGACTTCCTATGTAGGCATCTAACGTAGTCTTTCTTGGTAGTAACTGTCGTACCGGAGGAGGATGCGTCCTCCTTAGAGATGAGTGGAAACACCTGGCTGGGTCTGTAGAAGCAGATGGCCTCCAAAGGTCCTGTCCAAGCTCAATTAGTCTATTCAGCATATTTACAAAGAGTACAATAAAAAGGTGAAGATATTTGAGGAAAGAAAAAAGGGAAAGATGCAGAAGCAATCACTTCTGTACGTGTCAGATATTTTCTTTGGATCATCTGAATGGTTCCGATAAAGTCCTTCGGATACATCGGCCTGCACCAGCCTAAAACCAGCTTTTTGACAACTAAACCATTCTCAAGTGACACTTCAAAACCAGACAGTCTTTGGACTGAATGGGTGAAAAGAGTTTCTTGTGGCAGAAGAAGCTCGTTCGTGTTCTGCTTGCTGAAGTGCAATAGCAGCTATTGTTGAGGTGACATTTAATACATGTTTTTCTTTGCTGGGTTCTTTGCTGTAATGATCCTTTACCCTAAGAGGCCAAATATTGGAGGAGATGAGTAGTCACACCGGGAGACTACTCAGCTGATCGTAGATACCTTGAGTGGACACATCTTGTAGCCAATGGGAAGAGACTGACATTTGTGAGAGCTTATCTCACTCCAAGGCTGGTGAGTCATGCTGCAGAAATGACTAATTCCCCTTGTTGGCTCTAAAGAGATGATGAGATGAACTTCCAAGCTGGTGTATACCAAAGAGCAAGCTCTAAATTTGGGCAGACAAATGTTAGCTTTAATGGTTCATTATGTTTGCTAGGGGCACTGCACAATTAGTAGGAATGAAAGTGCTTTGTATAAAGAGTGCTTGTACATGGAGTTAACAGCAACAGTCTGTGGGATCTGGCTCAGGAACAAGGGTTTTGTGAAGGTCAGGCCAGTCCAGCCCCCAGCTTGAGATCAGAGAAAGCTGCAGTGGATGATCAGCATCGCTCCCGCGTGAGGCCATTGATGAGAGATTGAGCAGTGCACATTGGAACACAATAGTAATTTTCAAAGACTACAAATGTCTATAAATGCCGAGAGACAGGTCCCTGCGGTGATATTCTGCATGATTCTTGATACGACCTCCCTGCAGTGTCTAAAACCACCTCTTGATTTTTCCATCTTGACCATCTCTGTGTGGTGCTGAACGATGCTCTTTCTTGCTGCTATGTCTGAACAAGAGAAGTAGTGCTGGGAATTTGGAGACCTGCCCTTGGCATTCCGAGGCTTTATGGGCACGAGTCGTTTCCAAGTTGCCAATTACAGAGCTTAGAAACTCTCTTGAGGAACTATGTTGCATGACTGTTGTTCCAAAAATTGTCCCCATTCCAGCTTCTGGTTTTTTAGTAGGTTATTTGTTACCTTAACGTGCGGACACGGCGTGGGCAGCTTGCACTTGTGGAAGGCTTGGTCCTTAAGTTGACAGTGGCTGTTACTCTTTGCTTACAGAGTGTGACAGTTGTTCCAGTTGAAAAGATATCGAGGCTGAAAGCTCCTTATTTCAGGTGGTTTGAGTGAACTTTCCTCTTTCTTTTAAATGAAAAGCAGTTAGATCCTACATACCTTCGCCCAAGGGGGAGGTCATCTGCGTGAACTTGCTTCTCTCCCATATCAACTCCCCAGGTAACTCGTGGCTTTATGCTACCTTAATGGCAGGGCTGATGCTGCTCTGTGGAAAGGCTTTATTTGGAGGTTTGCCTCCAGAGTTTCTTTGCTGTTTGAGTCTTTCTGAATTTGTAAGCTCCGCTGCTGGGTTTGGTAACGTTTGCATCTTGCCTAACTGTGGAGTGGTCAATGAAGTGGCTCAATATCTATCTCTACGTCTTTCCCATTTAGCCATTCTCTAGAGCAACACTGTTGCGTGTGCATTGCATTGTTGACGGTGGATTCTGGATATCTTTTTTTCCAGCATGATTTCTTCAGTTTCATGGCAGTTTAGCAAAGGTGGTTGTTAGGCAGATAGTTCCTCACAGAATCACAGAATGGTTGAGGTTGGAAGGGACCTCTAGAGATTCACAGATCATCTAGCCCAACTCCCCTGCTCCAGCAGGGACACCCAGAGCACGGGGCACAGGGCGGCATCCAGGTGGGTTTTGAAGACCTCCAGAGAAGGCGACTCCACAGCCTCCCTGGGCAGCCTGTGCCAGGGCTCTGGCACCCTCACAGTGAAGTTCTCACATGGAGATGGAACTTCCTGTGTTTCAACTAGTACCCATTGCCCCTTGTCCTGTCACTGGCCACCACTGAGAAGAGTTTGGCCCCCTCCTCCCTATATTCTCCCAATATCTCCCAGTATTTTCTCCAATAAAGCAATTAAAAGAAATACTCTATATTTGCAGTCTCTTCAGATTACTGAACTGAGTCAAGTAGTCACAATGGACACTTCTGTGTTACCTGGACCTGGGCCAGGTCCCTCAGCTGTGTCCTGCTTCTGTGCCAGGACAAGAGCTAGAAAACAACCTTCACTTCTTACTGTGTCCTCTGTGTGAAGGCCACTAGGCTTGTGGGCAGGAGAGAAGCCCTAAGGTGCTCAAACTTATGCTGTGAAGATCAGGGCCTTGAGGACCACGACCACCTAAATCTACTTCGTGCTTCCCAAAACTGCTGCTCCCAGGCAGCTCCCTTGAGCTTGGCCCTGTAACCTGGGGCTTCAGGTTCAGGTGTGGGAGCAGGAAGGCTACTTTGGAAATCAAGAGATTTGGTTATGGGTCTTCTGTGGCAAAATTGACTACCCACTTTAACTGCTTCAATCACGTTAGAAAAGTAAAAGCTGCTGGGGTCGGAAAAGAAATGAGGCTTGTATTGTTTCTGTGTTTCGTTTGGGTTTTTTTCCTTGCAAGATATGAAAAAAAAATCAGGTAAAGGAGGATATTTTTGTTGCTGCGTCAAGTTATTTGTTCATCAGGGATTTTTCACTTAAAATTTTCATGTAGCAAAATTAGAACCAATCTGAGGATTTTGGTATATGTTTTAACCATTTAATGCACGTTTAACAGAAAAGCACTTTTTTAATACTACCTACCTGATAACACTGTATTTTTCCTAGTAACTGTGGAAATTCTTCCATGCACTAGGTTAAAAGCAGGCATTTATTTAGTTGTCCATTCATTTTGCAGGTAAAGAAAGCCTTTTTTGCCTTGGTGGCAAATGGTGTTAGAGCAGCTCCGCTATGGGAGAGTAAAAAACAGAGTTTTGTAGGTAAGTGCATCCAACATTTTCCACAAATGTTTGAATTTTCAGGGTGCTTCCTTGTTGCAAAAGGTGATAAGGGTCTAATATCACAGAATATCCTGAGATGTAGCGGTGAAAAGCTTATTTTACTCATTATCACAAAACACTGGAGCTAATATTGAATTCTACAAATGATAGAGGGGTGGTGGAGGGGGGAAGTGGCTCTATATTTCTTATTTTAAGTCATGTAGCTCTCTAACATTACCATAATAATATCATTCTAAAATTAGAGCTCTGTAGCAGTTAAACAGGGTCACAGTGACAGTTATAAATACTATTATGAATACTTGGTGAGACCTGGAATGTGGATTGAGGCATCTTGGAAACAAATGGTAGATACTTTATATAGTATTTTTTTTTTTAATATTTTGAATCCATGTGGGAGGGAGCACTGATTTTGTGCAATACACATCAGGCACGCTGGGTTCCTTAATTTATAATTGGAGTTGCTATCTGTCATTGAGTTCTAGTCAATTAAAGCTGACCTCTGCATTAATTCTTCCCCATCTCTTAGCTTCTTCAGTTTAGATGTAAGAGTAGTAATCAGTGGAGCAATTGCATCTTCTCAAATTTAGAACTTGAAAGCTCAAAAAAGATTAATATTTTCAGGTAACTAAACCAATTATCAATACTATGTTCAAATAGCTTGGTGTTGGTGCTTAAAATGTATATTCTGTGGATATAAAGGAAAGTTGTATTTCAGTAGACACGTTGGGGATTACAGTGGAAGAGATTGAAAAAAAAACGAGGGAAGTTTTTTACCAGGTGGTAATCAAGAAAATGGATCAGGTTATTTATTTTCTCCTTGCATTAAATTCTGAGAGTCTGCCCGACTTGGCAAGTGCTTAATGGGAATGTGTTTTGTTCAAAAAGGAAATTAAAGGCAAGGCTAAACCTTAAAGGGGTTTCAAAATCTCTTTCTTTCCATTCCTTTGGGGGTGGATGCAGCCTGAATTCAAGTCAGTTTGAGAAAGAGGAGGAGAAGCATCTGAGTTGTAATTTTGTAAATTAATTCAGACTTGTATGGCTTTTATTCTGCAATGTTATATCCCTGTGAAAATGAGTGTACGTGATTTTGAAACGGTTTTCTATTTGTATTGGACTAATAACAATGCACCTTACAAAGATGTACTGTTTTTGATTTATTTTTTTGTGAATGTAAATAGATGAAGTATCTGGAAGCTGTATATATTTAAGGTATATGTCTGCAGAATTTCTTATTTACATCTCGCTTGTTACAGGGATGTTAACAATTACAGATTTCATTAACATACTGCATAGATACTATAAGTCTCCAATGGTAAGTACCGCACTAAGCTTTACTTTCATTGGTTGCCACATAGTACAGAAACTTCATTTTTGAACTCTTTGAAGGTTTAATTAATATTGAAGTCCTTTGAAGCTTAGATATGTCACAGGTATACAAACTGTGTGGGTTCTGTGTGTTATTTTTTTACTTTTTTGTTTAAAAAAGAAAGAATTTTTTGTGGTCAATTTAATAGTGGTATCTGTACATCTGGGTTTAGTTCCCAGCTTTGCTGTGGGCATCCTATGATTTTTGGATGAGTAACTTAATCTGTCGGCCTCAGTAAAACATTTATAAATATGAGATTTCTTTTGTGGGTGGGTGGCACTTAATAGGCATAATGATAGCCTTGGCTTTGGATGCGAGGCTCTGTTTAGTGTTACAGTAATACCAAATGTATTTGGGGTGAAGGACCTAGCTAAAAGATTTGCTAAGAATTAAATGTTATTTTCAAAGCCCACAGGAAAATACTTGGTGGTTGGTTGTTTGATTCGGTCCAGGCGGTTTCAAAATACCTGGTTGCTTCATGTTTCGTAGCAATCAGAACTCTTATTTGTAAATGGGGAACTTCAAAAGCAGTGTTTGCTCGAAAATTACATGAAAAAGTTCATCTTGGTTAAAAGATACAGTAACTATATAGTGGTTTCCATGTTAGATATAAGTAATCTTTGACTCTTAACTATATTAAAGGATGGGGGTTATTGTAAAGTGTGTGCAGGGCTGAGTAGAAAGCGAATTTACAGGGGCTCAGATGGATTAGAAGGTTGCTCTGTTGGGCTGATGCTACAATGTGGTTAAGTTCAGCCAGCTAAATTCATGCGAATAGCTGAGTTGTGTGGCTGAGTTGCACAATCAGCCTCAGATCTCTTGACTTCAGTTAACTGTAATTCACAATTCCCAAGGGCAGCGCGTTGATGAAATTGGCTTGCATGTTCGTGCAGACATTCACATGGCTCCCTTGCTCTTCCCCAATGGCTGTTTCCTCCCTAACAGTTCGAATGAACTAAAAAATCAAACTAAAAAACTGAACTAAAAAATTGGATCCAAATGATAACTGATGTAGGAGGCTTTTCAAGGCTAGTTGATTAAGTTCATTTTATAATGAAGTACCAGATGCATAGAGTTTTGTGCACTACCCTTTCTTACTATTATATATATATTTAAAAATATATTGTTATTATATATATAATATATATAAATATTATATATATACACACACACAAAATATATATATCATATATATATATATAAAGTTGTTTTCCTGGGGACTTATAGAAGACAAGGCAAATTGGAAGTGACTGCACCCTGGTAACTTTTCCCTCATAGTGGTTTCCATGTTGTAATGATACTCAGCCTTCAGTGTTACTGGGTTTTTTCCATATAATTTTGCTCAAGATCTACACATTTTCACTCTTATTTACAGTACTCAGCATCTTATCCCCTGGTTTGTGCTTAAAATAATTTGTGTGCAGAGGGAAAGGGGATAGTTGAGTAAAGAGGCAAATTTTGATTGAAGGGAGGGGGTCTCCTACAAAAGAAGTAAAAAGTCCATTCTATATCCAGAGGTGCTTCAGGCTTAGTAAGAATTACATGTTCAGCTGAACTTGGCCTAAATATTTTGGTTCTTTCTAAAATTCACCATTTGTAAGTCAGTTAAGGGAGCTAAACTGTCAGCAAAGGTTATACAGGGGTAAACTCTGCCCTGATTTGATTGTGGAAGGAGGCGTCAGAGGTTTGCTCTGGCGTCTTCGTTTTAAGAGAGATCAAGTGCTTGATGGGCTGCTTTTGAGTCTAGAAAAGATTTAGGCTGGAAACTGAACTTCTAGGTATGTAAAGATGGGTGAAAATCCGTCCTGCCCCTTGAGCTGGTGGGTGATGCTCCCTGCATGGAGCAGGTTGCCTCTTTCCTCTTAGTACTGCCAGGAAATGTTTCTTTTGCCAGGGAATTCTTGCTTGGTGTCTTGGCTGCAATAAAGTGTAAGGGAATTAAATCTAAATGATGCTGTTAATAGTTTGGGGATCGAAATAAATACTTTTGAGTTACCGACTTTCCCTCTACCCATTGTAGGTTCAGATCTATGAACTGGAGGAGCACAAAATAGAAACCTGGCGGGGTAAGAATATTTATTACTTGATTGCTATTGGAACATATCTTGATTTGCTTTTTGGTGTAGTGGATTTTCATTTAATCACGGCCATAGCTCATCTCCCTCTAATGGAAACTGTTGTAGTGAGAGTTGGCTGGTTGGCTCCTGCTGTTGATTTTCTTTTTCCTCCCCCCCCCCCCTCTTTATGAACAGTGTGTGAAAGAGGGTGATGGGGGCCGTTTTCTGCCTCGATAAGCACCACCACCCTCTTCCTCTCCTTTGAGAGAGCTGATTCTGGACAACCGCTGCAATTTAACCAGCTCCTTGTTGTTCAGAAGGGCTCGAGAACCAGGTCACACCAGCAGTCCCTTGCCCAGCATCCCTGCTGAGATGGTGTGGAGGGAGAGCTCGCCACACGTCACCACCTTCCCTTCCCAGTCTATTCACTTGCCACATCAGGCACGTTTGAGCCCCAGCCCTCTCCTGTTGGTACCTTTTAGTATTTGGGGCCCTGTTACCCTCGGATTTTCCTCATCTCTTCCTGACCTGGGTAACTCTGCCTTCACGAACACCTGGAGAGTGTGAGTTTAGATAGGAGTGTTTAGGTAGGAGACTCTCCCAGAAAACCAGAAAATTTTCACTATTTTCCTCATTTGTGGTAACCCTTGTGGAAGCATTTCCCTCAACTCAGTTCAATACTGGCTTTGTAAAATATGTCTTTCATCCCACTAATGTTGTTCCAAGGAATTTATAAAAATGGTAATGCTTTCATGTGAAATGGTAACGGAGTGTTAATTTTCTGTACGCAGAGCTTTATTTACAAGAGACATTTAAACCTTTAGTGAACATCTCCCCAGATGCAAGGTAGGATTTGGCTTTTCATTCTCCTCAACTTGAACCTCATTGCATGTCAGCACTGAATTTTTGCCTTGACAAGAAACCATTTGCATTGTGAACATAAATATGACAACGAGCGAGTGTTCATTAAAATCTGGGGATGCATTATGTCATATGTATGACGACTTATTAAATTGCAAAAAAAAAAAAAAAAGATAGATTTAGCTTTGCTTTTTTTGAAGTTAATTCCTGGCACTTTCAGTTTTTGGACTGGGATCCCTATGTCCTGTGGAAGGAAACTGATATAGGGAACCCAGTGATGGCCCAGACTAATGGTTGACTGTATCTCGAGTCAGAACTTGTTTAAGTTGAAGCTGGTCCCACTATAGGGGGATGAAGCGAGGGGAAACATTGGGAAAAATAAGATGCAGTAGGACATAAATAAAATATAATACATATAAATATAATATAAAATATATAAAAAAATACTGCAAGTCAGCATGAGACCCACTCCGGAAGGGCTCAGGCTCACGGAAGAGTTAAGTCTTGCTCCAGGAGTGGAATCTGGGCAGCGTTGGGAATTTTGGCTCCCTGTGCAGCAGCTGGGGATGTCTGATCCCGCTCATAGCACCGAGTTATTTGTGTGGGTAGAAGCCCAGGCCAGCAAGTGGGCATTTATCAAAGTTCTTGTGAGCCTCATAACGTAGTTATTTATTACAAGGGGTGGGCAGCTGATTTTTATCAGTCTTAGTACGACAAAGAAGAATGATCAGTGGTATTTGATGGAAGAAGAACATTATATAGGTTGAAATATTGCTGTGTCGTAGTCTGCAGTGTTTGGAGGAACGTTTCACATCTTCTGAGAAGGAATTTTCTCAGTTTCCCCAGCAATAACATAGGGGAATGATGAGATAATTGTTGTAGCCTCGTTGCCTTTATGCACATGTTCATAGATACTCATTTCTAGGAAGGTGGTACAGAAGGAACTGCTGTTGGTACCATCTTTTATTATAGACTGGCTCACAAAATGCAAAAAAACTGTGAAGATAATATAAATAATTATCTAACATATCTTGTATGATTTTATAAATGGGTGCATGTATTACCTGACATTGCTCATTGCCAGCCAGAATTCCGTACTAATTTAATGCATTTAATGTTTTCTCCTCAGCCTTTTTGATGCTGTATATTCACTGATCAAAAACAAAATCCACAGATTGCCGGTTATAGATCCTGTCAGTGGGAATGCACTTTATATACTTACCCATAAAAGAATCCTCAAGTTCCTCCAGCTTTTTGTAAGTATTTCAAGATGTGCTTTTGCTTAACAGATTTTTTTTCACTCCAAATCTACAACATAAGTAATTTAAAGCTTAATGTGAAAACTTACTGATAACCTTCCATAGCTGACCACTTCAGTTTGTGTCTTTATTATAGAGACAGTGGAAGATAACACAGTAAGCTTGATATAGGAGCTATATTATTTTTATTCTGCTGTTGTTATGTAGAGACAGTTAAATAGCCAACCCAAATGTATCACTGTAGTGGGTTTAACATCACATGGATAGCTGCTAGCTGTAAAGTACCTTGTAGAAGACTGCCCTGTAAATACATTAATTCTGACCCTTCTAGATGTCAGAGATGCCAAAGCCTGCCTTTATGAAGAAGAATTTGGATGAACTTGGGATAGGAACTTACCACAACATTGCCTTCATACATCCAGACACTCCTATCATTAAAGCCTTGAATATATTTGTAGAAAGAAGGATATCGGCATTACCTGTTGTGGATGAGTCAGGTGTGTCTTAAATCTTCTCTATACAAGAGTGTGATAACATAAATAGTGGGAAAGCACTGGTTGGAGAGAGTGGATATATTTGTCTTTTACTATTATTACTGTTATTATTAGAGCCATCAGGAAAGAAAAGGGAATATAAAGAAATATTTATGTAAGATCCAGGTTTATGGGCCTGGAAGAACCTCTTAGGTTTGTCTGCTCAGTTCTGTTAACAAGTAAGATAATGAGTGATTGTAGCACACAAGAAAAATAACTGTATATTTCAAATGCTCTACTAATGCATGTCTTTCTTTTGTAGGAAAAGTTGTAGATATTTATTCCAAATTTGATGTAATAGTAAGTATATGCTTTAAATTCCATAAAATATTTTTATATAGAATTTTAAAAATGAATTTGTGCCAGCTTAACTCTTTCTTTAGCCTTTAATGAGCTGAATAAACAGCATTCAGCTCACTCTGTACAAAATTTAAAAATTAAGAAATCAAAGAGGAGCTTCAGGGCTGTCCTTAGTGGTGCTACTTAGACACAGACATCTGCTGCTGTGGCTGCTCCATGACTTGAGCCTTGGTTTCAGTGCCTGGGAAAGGGCCCTCTTCTCCCCGTGTCTCTCATGGAGCTTGGATTGGCTTTTCCCGGCTGCTGCCATTCTACAGGCTGCTTTCAGGGAGGGGATGCAGGGATGCCCGGCCCTTTCCAGTGAATCAAAATGCCTGGGGCCCTGGAACCAGAGTGTTGCACCTGTATTGATTGCATTGCACCCGTATTCCTGCTGGTTTAGGTCTCATTTAGGCCACTGTCCTGATTTCCTCCCCACCTTGGAAGGGCAACAGTGTTGCTGGATTGATGCCACTGGCAGCCAGCTGAGGGGCCAGGGCTCTGCTATTCTGGTTTCTTTGAAAGCTGAAAATCTTCATTTTTCTCCGCTTTCCTTCCTTATCTGCTATCCGGTGCAACTGCCTCGTAGTTAGGACTCTTGGTAGCTGTGGTATTTTTAGAGATCTCAGGACTCCACTCGCTCCATCAGCCCGCTAGTGTTAATGGACAATCCAGGTGTCTGGATTGGCACAGAACGCTCCCAAAAATAAGAAGGATGGTCACAAATGGAGAAAATAGGCAAGCACTTATATATTTCTGATTACAAACAGTGCTGCTAATGCTGAACATTTTGAAAACTTGGTGTTTCTGCCTGTTTCAGTTCCAGCCTTCTGCCCTTTCGTTCTCTAGATTAATTCTGTGAGAGATTCTCTGCTGCCATAAAGATTGGTGCAGGAGTGGCTGGAAGCTGAGGAAGCAGGCGTTTTCTAACATCCAAAGCCTTGGAAGTCAACACTTGATGGCTTGGGTGGTTCCATTAAGTTTTGCAGCTTCATTAGTCCTTGAGACAGGACATACGTCCTGACATTTTCCATTCTTAGAACCAAGACCCCAAAAGGAAGAGGTTCCTTTTAGATAACATTAAAAATCCACTACTGACAAGAAATGAAAAAAATGCAAATCTAAGTAATGAGATAGCCAAAGTTGTGTAGATTTTAGAGACGTGAGATCATTTCATTGGAAAAATTACATATTGGAAATCAGGAAAACAAAACCAAAAACACCCACAAAGGCTTAAGGATGTAGTTGTTCATTGACAGCTAGTTACATGGGACATCTACTCATCATTAGTTCAGAATGAGATTATGTCTATAAACACATTTAACTAAACTAATAGACTTCGGAGTTCTGGGCATCACAGAATGGTTGAGGTTGGAAGGGACCTCTAGAGATCATCTAGTCCAGCCTCCTGCTCAAACAGGGACACCTGGAGCACAGCGCACAGAAATTGATTTTTCAGCTCTTAAGAGAGGACTATGAGTGGTGAGATGCTATGGAAATAGCTATAATATAACTATAACTTGCAGTAGATATGTGTAGGGTAACTGAAGTCTTGGACAGGCTTTTTGTGCTCTCGTGGTGCCCATGGTTAAGAATTTAGCCTGCACTAAGTGACTTGCAGTGACTTCAAGCTGCCTTTCACACTTGAGCGTAATTGTTTAACAGCCCCAGAACCTGAGGGCTCACAGTAAATTCCAGCCAAAAAATTAATTCCACTTAGATGGAAACAGTGGCCTGGGCGAGGGACAGCTCTGCTCTTCTTCCCTGAATGCTTCGCTGAGCAAAACTAACAGGCCAGGAGGTGCCGACACCACCAGAACATCGCTGCAGTCCCTAAGAAAACTTCTCTGCAATCTTGAGGTTTAAATGAATATATATTTGTAACGTGTCCCTTGTGACTTTAATCTTGAGGCCACCAGGAGTCCAGTATGTGAAATCTTTGGAGTTGCTCTGACTCTAAATGAAGTGAAAATTTTGGATTATGTAAAGCCAAAGAAAGACTTCTTACCTCGAGTGGTGGTGATGGGTTGATTGGTTGGTTTATTTATTGTTAATGTAGTTAGCGTATCATTTTCTACTTAAATTACTTACTGGTGTCAAATGGCAGTGCCAGCAGAGTCCAGGAGAGGGAGCGTGAGCTCAGGGAAAACGAAGGAAGAGGAAGGAAACCTCCCCCATGGGTCGTGTCCCCCCTTGTCCTATGAAAAACCAAGTTCAATCTGCGTTTTCTTAAAGTCTCCAAAATCTTTAGAACTAGATCTTTGTATTCTCTACACCTTGCACAAAAGAAGGACAACTTTTATTGGTCTGATGCGTATAGCAAAAATTAAGTAATCTTGTTATTTAATATAATTGCATACTTGGCTGTTCCTAAAAACTGGGAAAAAAAAAAGTTAATGTGTAACTTGGAGCAGGCTTAGCTTATACCAGAGCTTATGTGTCTACTTGATGCCAAACGTTACTTAAGAGATTGCAGGCAAGCTCTGAGATGTCCTGTGCCTTATTTTTTCAGAATCTTGCTGCTGAAAAAACATATAATAACCTAGATATCACAGTGACGCAAGCCCTACAACACCGGTCCCAGTATTTTGAAGGTGTTGTAAAGTGCAGTATGCTGGAAACACTGGAGACCATTGTGGATAGAATAGTGAAGGCCGAGGTGAGTTTGCTTTTTATTTGTACACTTCATTTTAGAAGTTGTATGACCAAATAAATATATATATATATATATATATACACACACACATATATAAAGAAAATGCATCTTTTCACTCAGTTAGGGTACTTGAGGCAAATGCTCCTCTTATCAATGTGTAAATATCTGTTTGATTTATAGTCTTAGATCATGACTATTTAGAGAGATGGTCAGAATATTATATGGTGCATTTTGTTACTTGAGCTGAACATAATGGGTTTTTTGAGGAAGAAGCAGTGAAGTTTTTTCCAGTCTTGTCATGAGTTTTGCCGGCAACCGAACAATTCTTGAAAATCCAGCCTATAGTCAGGTTGCTGTGGCCTGTTAATCAGGACACCTTAGAGCGCAATTACTTAGTGCACGTGGAATATTGCACTGCTTGCATGGAAATACTGTGAAACAGGGCCAGAAAAATCATTTGAAGAGGCATAGATAGACTGTTCTTAAAAATTATTTATCCGTGTTTGTTTTGGTGCAATTTGTCTTGTATCTGGTCTAGTACTGGGATCTATGTTATCCAAGAGGGGGATGATAAGCAGATCTTGTTCTCTTTAGACCCCTTTGCAGGAGCAAATCAGTATGACCAGTTCCACTGGCCCCTGAGTTGTGTTCAACTCCATCGAAATTCTTCAGCCTTTACAAGTGCAAGATTTTTTCTTTCATTTTTGGGGCCCTAATGGTAGATACAGTTAACCTGAGTATAAAATCTGTATTTTATTGGATCTCCTGAAGAACCTCCCTTAGACAATTTTTATTTTTAACTACTTGCATCGACTTGAGCTTTTACGAGAAACCTGAAATTTGTGTATCTGCAATGCTAAAATTCTTAAGTGCAGCTAATTTTTATTAACGTCCTTAGAGGCTTTAAATAAATGGAGGTTTAAAACCAGCTCCTGCCCTTCAGTGCAGCCTAAGCATAATGATGTTTTATATAAATATGGGTCAGTCAAACTTAGGAGGCAATAATCACTGTTGTCTTCAGCTGCCAGACAAGTGCTTGATCTGACTGGAAATAAAACAAACTGTCAATTTTTCTTTAATCCATTACCTGAGAGAAGAAAAAATGATTAAATATGGATAAGGTGCAGAGCAGATATCCCCACCTGAAGCATCGCTGACAAAGTATTATCAAAAAGACAAAATGTAGACGCATTTTCGTCCCTTTCCCACGTTTTCTCAGGTGGATGTGACTGTTCAGATACCTCAGAGCTTTGTTTTTGTGCCTGTCTGGGAATGAAGTGATTGATTTAAGCCATAAATGAACACGGCTGCTAGAATCAGCAGAGCTTCAGTTCTGTCATATTTCCTGGGGGGAAGAGCATAAACAGCAAGTAGTTTTGAGTAGAAAGTGGCAAGAAAACATTAAAACACAGCGTTTAAGAAAGCTGCGATTTATTTATGTATTGGTTTTTTTAACTGAATGTGAAATAATGGCTTCCTTGAGTGTAATCTGGCTGTCTATTCAAGCTTTCAGCTGGATAGAATACATGATGGTATTAAATTTAAATTATTTGAGCTTTGATCACTGTCTAAAAGTATAGTGGTCTTGTTCATAAATCTAGTTTGTTCCACATTGTATCCTTTTCTCCTTCATTAACTCCACACTGAGTTTACATAGTAAAACGAAACCTCTTTTTCTGTCGTCACACGAAATTGTGATTTTATTTATCTTTTTCATGGCTCAGCATTCGGCCTCATTTTTGTAGCTTTATGAGAACAGTTTCGTTAAACAAAGCTTGGATGTGTCAGCGTTCAGCCAGTTTGTGCTGTGGGTCTCCTCAGAGTGTTTCTCTCAAAATGAAAATTCTTTTAATTAAAAATAATAAAAATAATGAGATTCCAAAATAGAGCTTAGAGCAGAGCCTGTAAGTTGGAGAGAGAGAAAAAAAAAGTGTGTTGTATTTCTGTGAAATCCTCTGGCTTACTATGATTTTGAAAAGTCTTTAGATCAGAGCTTCTTGAAATGTGAATGTAATGTGAAATCTGAGAAGATTTTGTGAGCAACATCTAAGTGTTTTAAAGGCCTGGATCTTGGTTTGCTTGTCACCTCCGATCTGATCATTGTTGCTGTGTCAGGGCACTGTGCACATTGTAAAGATGCACTTGATTTTATCTGGGTTTGGGTAAGCAGGTTTGTTTTGCTGTGTGACAGCAAAAACCATAACAACTTGAGCGGTTCTCTCTGCTGCTTGCTGTTGTTGTCATTGCTTTATTTTTTATTCTGTTTGCTGTTATCATATGCCTCAGAGGCGAAAATCCCTCAGAATGTTTTCCCTGCCTGCAGGTGCATCGTCTGGTGGTAGTGAATGAAGCGGACAGCATTGTGGGCATCATCTCCCTCTCCGATATTCTACAGGCTTTGGTACTCACACCAGCAGGTAGGGCTCTGACCCTGCTCTTAGTGTGGCCAAAATGACCACCTACTGCTTATAATTGGTTTATTGATGGTAGTAATGGGCAGTTAGTTAGTTAGCCCCTCGATTAAAGCAACAGGAGGGGTGGGGTGAGGAAGAGTTGGGCAAGTCAGGGGCCTTTTAGGAGCAGCTGGGCATTAGGCTGCAGTTCCCCAAGCAGCCAGGCCAGCCTAAGGCTGGGTTTGACCTGGATAAATGCAGGTGATGGGCAGTGTAGATCTGTTTTAGTGAGTGATTTGCCTTTGCCCCTTCAAGCAGATCCATGAGACTGGTCAGATAAATCATGCCCTACAAGTGTCCGTTTCTCCTCGGTGACGAGAGATGATAACGTATTGCCTGGCAAGAAGTAAGAGCAGTTTGCCTTGGAACAAAATACCAGTTCTGCTGTGGAAACTTCATGCGTTTAATGGTGTTTTTATGGCATTGGAGTTTGTGACTCCAGCTCCAGACAGCAGGAAATCTCTTGCCAGCAATCTGAATGTGACAAGTAGTAACTCCCAGTTGCTGGCAAGAGATTCCTGGTGTCTGGAGTGGGATGCTGAAGCCAGACTCAGGCCGGGGTTCAGTCCCTGCCCAGCATGGAGCTAGACTGAAGAGCAGCAGTAGGGGCAGGTGCTGCGCAGCTCTGTGCAGCTCTTCTAGCAATGGCTCTTTCATCCACTTGCTGGCATTCAAACCTGCCTCTGAGCCAGGGGAAATGGATGATATCTGAATTACAGGTGAAGTTGGGAGCAGGAGCAAACAAAATGCTTCCTCACTCCCATTTCCTCATCCAAAAGCATCATCTGTATGAACGGCATCCAGTAGCGAGGCTGTGATCCTGCCTGAGGCAAAGTTCTGCGAGCAAAACCTTCCCATGGCTGGAGCTGGGGACACAGGGGACTGTCACCCACTTTCCTCTTCTCTTAACAGGTGCCAAACAAAAGGAGAACGAAAGTGACTGACTGCTGTGAATGTGTAAACGCTGTAGGAGAACTTGAACAAAAGCTTCTGGGTCAAGTTTGTCTCAAGAACAGTGACCGCCATAGACGGGAGCAGAGTGGCTGAGAATGTGTTTTGGGACTTAGTGATGGATGATGAGTCTCTTCCCCCCAGTGATGTCGCAAAAAAAAGCAGCATGACAAAAGCTTATGTTAAAATGTAGGCTTGTATTTCAAACCGTCTTCGAAACATTTGCTGGAAGACTTCACATGATGTCCTTCATTACAATGCACTGTATTCTGAAACTTTTTTTCATTTTGTATTTGACAGAAGTCACCGGTCAGCAATGGATATATGTGACATAAGGCAAGTGTATGGCATATTCATATCATAGTGCCTTATGTCAAAATACAGCAATATGTCATCACTGTTGCCCATCACTGTCAAAGGAAGTATTGTGCTAAACGAGACACTGTATTTGAATGTGAAAGTCTTGAAACCTAAAACCAAATCAGTTTCAGTTCTCATTAGATTTGTCATAAAAGCTGTAATTTGAATATTGGTAGACTTTAAAACTTGGACAGTTTTGTGTTAAATGTTGCATTCTGAACGGAGATGTAAAACGAGACTGATTTTAAAGAACAGCTTTATTTATTTTTACTTTCTTGACAATTTTTTACACATCTTTGGTGGATAGCTAAAATTTCACCATATCCATTAATAAACTGTTGATTGTTATACAACCAAGTGGTAGATTTTTCTCGTTATTTAAATGATTGGAGCTGCAGGAGCTGTGGCCTGTTGCTCAGTCCATAATTCCTTAAGTTGGAGATTCCAGACGCGTGTATCCCAAGTGCCCTGTGCTCTAACACACAGGCACCATGGAGAAAATCAAGTGCCAGAGAACAAAGCTTTCCTCTGTAGCAAAGTATAAAACGATGTTTGTAAGCCTCAATGAACCTTTTTATTGTATATGATTTGTACAGAAGTGGAGGAGTGAGGGAAAGCTGGGGGGGGTTCTGCTAATGTAAATGCACTGTAAAGTTTGAAGCTGAGAATTTTTTTATATATAATTGTAGATTCTTGTAGATGGATGAAATTAAACCCTACAACATCAGTTTTTAACAGTTCTTGCCGGTTTCTTTTGCATGCATGAGGTGTATGTGCATTTTGGTCAGTGTAACCTAGAAACAGAAGCAGTCTTATTTTCCTTCTATTTTAAAGGCAATTAGCATAAAATGTGTTGTATTTCTTTTGAATATACTATCCTTTTAGCATGAATCTGTACTGGAATAATGACAGTAAACTGATGAGGTGTTTTTTCCCCCAGTTATAGATATTGAGGTAGAATACTAACAGTAAAAATACTATAAATGATATTTATAATATAGTATAAAAAGGCTTCTAATGCAAAATTTTGAGGAAAGAAATTTTTTTTAAGAAGTTAAATGATGATCTAAATGTTTGGAAATGTTGGGCTTTGTGGCCTTTTCCTGTATAAAATCTGAATATCCTTCTGGTACATAGTGGACACTGCTCTCTCATACTTTATCTGTCTTCTTCCATCTTATATTCTCTGGAAAACATCAACAAACTTTCTCCAGCACCATTTCTTACCAGAAAAGCACTGGCTTTTCCCTTGCTGCTATTCTGCACGGCGCTGACCTGCGGCAGCTGCTTTGGTCCCAGTCCCTGGTACCTGCAGATAACACCCAAGCAGATGCAACTTCTTGAAAGGGCAGAGTTGTGAGATACTTCTCCCGAACTTGAGTTATAGACTGCTAGAAAACAAGATGTTTCAGGGGCTGAAGTCCTAGGTCTGAATTTCTGAGAAGCAGAATGGGAATATAATTCCACAACCAAGAAAAACAGCAGTGCCACCAACAAGGTCTCATGCTATAGATGAAAGACTGTGGTAGTGACTCTGGGTGCTCCCCTTCTTTGCTGCATTGGGCTTCTGTGACCGGTGAAAGATTATTCAGTATTGTAGGTTGTTCCGAGTCCTGCAGGTGAGATGCTGTAGAAAATGATGATATCTTAAGCTAGACGATAAAACATGCAGGATTTCCATGCTTTGCTGTGTACTTCCTGCCTCAGCAAGAGATTTCTGCAAAACAGAATTATTCTAAAGTACTTCTTGGACCTGGAAGGAAACAGATTAGCATATTTATGTAGTGAAATCTACTTGGTTTACATAGTTGTAGGCATTTAGATTTTACCAGGAAATATTTTCTTATACCTTGTTTTTTATTAAACATGAACCTTCAATATTTCTTAGCATTGGTAGGGATAGTGTCACCTTTTGATTCTGCAAGAAAATCATCTTGCTGATACTGATCGCTGGACTGATGATCAAAACTTTCCTTTTGTTTTACTCCTGGACTCCTTTTAACTAAAAGGTCTGAGCTCTACTACCCACCACAGGTGGAATCTGCTGTTCACTATGAAACTGAACCACAATTGTCAGGTCTCTGAGGCCTCTTCATGTCATAGAATCATAGAATCATAGAATGCCGAAGGTTGGAAGGGACCTCAGAGGTCATCGAGTCCAACCCCCCTGCTCAAGCAGGGTCACCTAGAGCACGTGGCACAGGGCTGCATCCAAGCGGGTTTTAAAGATCTCCAAAGAAGGAGACTCCACAACCTCTCTGGGCAGCCTGTTCCAGTGCTCTGTCACCCTCACAGTGAAGAAATGCTTCCTTAAGTTCCTGTGGAACTTCCGATGCTTCAGTTTGAAGCCATTTCCTCTAGTCCTATCCCTACTCACCACTGAAAAGAGGCCGCCCCCCTCCTCCTCGCTGCCTCCCTTGAGGTATTTATACACGCTGATCAGGTCCCCCCTCAGCCTCCTCTTCTCCAGGCTGAACAGACCCAGCTCTCTCAGCCTCTGCTCATAGGGCAGATGTTCCAGGCCCCTGATCATCCTGGTAGCCCTGCGCTGGACTCTCTCCAGCAGCTCCACATCCCTCTTGTACTGGGGAGCCCAGAACTGGACGCAGTACTCCAGATGTGGCCTCACCAGGGCTGAGTAGAGGGGGATGATCACTTCCCTCGACCTGCTGGAGACGCTTTTCTTAATGCACCCCAGGATCCCGTTGGCCTTCTTGGCCACCAGGGCACACTGCTGCCTCATGGTCAACTTGTCGTCCACCATGACACCCAGGTCCCTCTCTGCGGGGCTGCTCTCCAGCAGGTCCACCCCTAATCTGTACTGGTGTCCAGGGTTATTCCTCCCCAAGTGCAGGACCTTGCACTTGCCCTTGTTGAACCTCATGTCCTGGGACTAAGGAATATTATTGTGTGGGGAATCGCTGTGAGAGGCAGCCTCGTTTCCAGAGGCTCTTGCTCGACCCAGCAGACCAGGAATCTCACTGAAGGAATTCCAGGAGTGAATTGCATTGAGAGCATCTCCGCTGTAGAGCATCTCTACTCTTTCCAGAGAGCGTAGGAGGCTTCGCTTTGGGTTTCACATCTAGTTGAAGCCAAGTCCTGTATATACTTTTAATTCCTTCTTATAGGATTAAAAGATAGATATTTAATTATTAATATTAAAGAGCAAGTATTTAACTGCTCGTACTGAACTCTCCAGCAACCAGCTTGATTCACATGTCCCTGCAGACTTTCTCTCGTGCTCCTATGTGGAACACTTGCTAGGAGGAGGGCTTTCTAAGGCAGACAGCTTGCCCATAACGCACACTGTGCAAAGCCAGCGGTCTCGAGACACTCACTTTTAATCACTTGTAAACGTCTTGATTTCAAAACAGTTTTCAAAGTCATTGTTTGCATTTATTTTGAATTTACTTTGTTTCCTTCCTTCCTCTTCTTTTTGTTATTATTTTCTGTGCTACAAATATTTGTTGCGGGGAGGGGGTAACCACAGTCTTACTATTTGCTCATGTTTCTGCCTGAACTTTGGAAAAGAATCGTCAAAATGCAGGAGGGAGTAGGAGCAAGTGTTAAGACTCGAACTGAATGTACTCCCCAACCTCCGTGGGCAGCACAGTAGATGCTGTACGGGTGCCAGGCACATTGCTCACGCTGGATGTACTTCCAAAGGACGTTCAGAAAGGTCCTGATGTACTAATGTATACAGCAAATAATTATAGCTCCAAGCTCTATGGCAGCAACTGCTCATACTGCTCTGTTTCATGTGCAAGAATAGTAATACTGTGTTACCACGAAAATATTTGACTGTTTTGCTTGTTACACAAAATTCACTGCAAATTTTCTTCCATCCAGACAGATGAACACAAGAAACGTTTCCTTTTCTTCCTCTGCCTCCGTCTTTCTTCCTGATCTCACTCCATGCACCTCCTCGCTTTGGGCTTGAACAGCCCCATTTTTCCCCTTTTTCCGAGCCTAGGCAAGTATATTCATGGTTTGCATTTACTGAGTGCCTCTTGCTAATAATTTATAATAAAATGAATGCAACTTATCTAAGCTGATAGGAAAAGCACATTTGACTTGAGGACATAACTGTATTTCATAGGTAAAGGTAAAGCTGTAATCCTTGGTGCTAACTTCTCTTGGGAATGTTGTGCTGTACAATACAACCTGAACACCACGTTCTGACTGTTAGAAGCAAAAGGACAAAACGTTTATGGCTTTTCAGCCCTAACCATCTAAACGGCAAGAGCTGAAATAAAACACAATGCACATTGTGGTTTCCCTGGATTTAGGAAATAGCTTTTTGTAGTTTTAGGAAGCATTTGGGCCTGTCCTCAGGAGTGGAAAAAGTAACAATAGCCTTACCATGATCTACATAGCTCTGCTTAACATGAGGCTTAAAAGTGGGATCTGCTTTTTTCTAAATGTAGAAAAAAGCCCTGCCCAGGAAGGCCGGGTTCTGGTCCCTGCCCACGCTGGGCTGTGCGGGCTGGGTAGCCAGAGAGGGGGCAGCCCTCGCACTAATAATGACTCGATGCAGCTGCAGGGGGAGCAGGAAGAAATAAGAAAAAATGACACAGGGAAAGACCTAATAAACACAACTAGGGTGTCTAGGAGGGAGCAAAAGCAGAAACCCCAAGAAATTAAAATACTGGTGCTAACCACCTGTGTTCTGAGCAGGGAGAACTATCTGAGTGTATTTGCTGATAAACGCAGGTTAGGTTTAAGGAGGCAGAACAGGGTCTACACCCTGCAGGATACGCAGTAAGAGATGTGAGGATATGGAAGCTGCAGAGTGACTGCCACTGACTTCACCTGTGTTCTCGAAACGCCTTGATGCTGCTGGACAGTAACTGTCACCTCACTCCCCTGGGCCCTGCGGCGCAGCAAACAGCCCAAACTCTAGACAGTGACGTAGTTTGAGGCAAAGGGAGTAAGGGCAAAGACGATACCAGAGCTACAGGGCTGTTCGACAGACGGTCCTGCAGGACTGGGGCTACTACAGGTTCTCATGTCTCTTTACACACTCTCCTAAGATGCTCTCCAAGAACCAGGACTGTTTCTCCGTATCTTCACTTGAGAGCACTCAACAGTTTTCCAGAGCCTGTAAAGCAGAATTTCTACGTGCTACTCTTTTTCACTTGGTCCCACTCAATCTATCTGTGTAGTGGGACTGCACAAATCCCTGTGATATAATCCCTATGAATAATATTCCTTTGCTTTAGTTCCGTGCCGCAACGCTCATAAAGCCAGATGAATTCCAGAATGTGGGAATGAGGGGTGTAGGTCACGATGGAGAACACAATTTCCCTTGAATATCATCAAGCTACTGGGCCAATTTAGCCGTATCAACCTGTTCTATCATGTAAGACCAAAATAAACATGTAATGCATGCTGTATTTTTTCCACT